GACTTGAGGGAGAGATCAATAGCAAACTATTCCAATAGTCCCTGGCCTGTGCTGAGGTGGTAGCAGTAACAGAGGAGAGAAGAGGAGCTAATGAGAGAGTTGTTAGGTAGGTAAAATCAAGAGGACTTGTCAATAAACTGGATATGAGGGGTGAGAGAGAGAGCAGAGTTGAGGATGACATCTAGGTTTTGAGTCTGGGGTACTAGGAGGATGGTACCCTTGACAATAATAGGAAAATGTGGAAGAGGGAGGATTCATGGGGAAAAATAATGAGTTTAGTTTTGACGCATGGAGTTTAAGATGGCCACAGGACATGTAGTTTAATATTCAATTGCAGTACTGATTTTAACTATGTGAAAAAGAAGGACATACATAACCCTCATGACCGAAATAATTTAGAGTTCTTTTCCCTCTTAGAATTATTTTGTATTATTTTTTTACACACTATTTGCTCCTTGAGGGCAGGGACTGTTTTTCTCTTTTTCTATTTGTATTCCTTAGGCCTACCAAATATACTTTTCCACAATACGTATTCAATAAATAAATAAAGCCATGTTAAAATGAATTGATTTCAATGAAAGAGGTAAAATCCATTGAAGTTTGCTTAGTTGTAGTCCTGGGTGAATAGCCCTGAAAAACTGTTGTTTAAAGAGGCACTTCACTTTCCAGTCCTGCATACCTGGTTCTCCCTTCTTATGAGTCACTCTGATTCACTCAGGAAACTAATCTGGAAAGTTCCAAATGAAAATAACTAAACAGAAAACCAGACCTCCTGTTGCAGGGACTTTATACAACTGTATCTGGATTATTATTAAACTCTTTGATGCCGGTTTTAGATTCTACAAACTCCTGCAAATTGACTCATTAATTCCACACAGGCCTATAGAGGGGTTTTACTGCTAAGATTGTGACAAGGTTACATAACACTGTGCATAAAAGGATTATTTTGGCCTCAGTTTGCATAACAGTGGGGAGGGTTTTGTGGATTCTTGTGGTTGCTGTTTTTTCCCATTTGTCTTCCTTTTGGTGTTCTTGTGGAAGGGTTGATAAGAGAATATAATTGATTCAGTTTAATAACAGAGAGACTCAATAAATATTACCAGAATGATCATTTGATTTGCAGGAAGAGAAGAGGCTGGCTGCCTGAAAGAAGACTTTCTTGGGACGTTGTACAAGTCAGAAAGATAAGCTATTCAACAAGGTGTATGGTCAACACAGCCCAGCAGTAGTTTATCTATTATTATTTTGCTAGTTACAAATAGAAACGGATAAACAAAATAGTATGACTTTTATCCTCATAGAAATGACAATCCCTTTATAATTCCAGGGTTGAGCAAGGTATATACAAAGAGATCAGGTGTGACACACCTCTTGGGAACTTTGGAGATGAGAAATTAATTCCTTTATTGGCCACTGAATAAGAGATGATTTAGTGGCCAATAAGGGAATATTTTTTTTGTCTCTATAGATAGAATCATGTTGATGGGGTGCTTGGGTGCTTGTACTGGGACCCCAATTCCATGACCATGTTTCTCCCTAGCCTCAGAAACACTATACCTGGTAGTTTCTCTCCAGCCCAAGGACATTGTGTCTAGCAATTACTCGTGAGTGGGCCCCAGCAAGACCCTTATCTTTCTCCCTGGTGCAGTTACAAACAGCACCTGAAAGAATTATTAGTTTGAGCTGGCTTTGCACTGGGTCATAAAGATATTCTTACCCACCAGACTATCTATACTACCTCCCTACCTCATTATCTACATCCTGGACTCCTCATTATCTGTATTTTAGACCTAAGATATATTTATACTCCCTACATCTATCTCGTCAAAGAAGACATTGATTGGTGGCAGACTGGACAACTCTCAGTTACCCCTGACTGCTAGTTAACTTAGTGATGCAGCAGGCCTAAAACCACACCTCTGTGGGACACCCCCATGGGCTTTTCCTAGTGAACTCTAGGTAAAATGCCTGCAGAATAGATACAAAAAGTGCATGTTCCTTTAAGAACTGACCACTCCTTAACCACTCCCTAATCCCTCCCTGAATAACTTAGTTAGCATATTTGACACATGTTTTGTTATATTTTATCCCATATAAACTTTAACTGTACCGCTTTAAGATCACATGTTCCTTAAGAATCCTTGCCTGCTGTATAGCATAACAATAAACTTTTTGCCAACTTGACTTAAAGAATACTTGAGTCTGTGAATTCATTCCAGATGACCCCATTGTGTACTTCAGTCTTTGAGGGGTCTCAGCCTCTCAGGCAGCAACAAGGTAACTCAGGGACTACTTGGGAGGACTAGGTGAAGTACAACTTTTTGGTTTTCCTATCTCAGTTACATCTTTATTCTTCTTTTGCAATCCTCACAGCATCTGGATCAAGGCTTGAGTACATACTAGACACTCAATGTGTGACTAATGGAGGTGACAAAGTGAATATACACACATACACATACATATGTAAATGTGTGTGTGTATACATATATATACATACACACATTATATATACAGATATAGATAGATAGATAGATAGATAGATAGATATAGATATTCAATTTTATTTCATTTTCAGGTCCAAATTCTTTCCTTCCTCCTCCCCATTAGGAAGGCAAGAATTACAAATATGAAGTCATTCAAGACATATTTCTACATTAGCAATGTTAAAAAAAAAACAAGAAAAAGAGAGAAAAATATGTTTAAATCTGCACTCTGAGTCTATCAATCTCTATCTGGGGGTAAATAACATTTTTTCATCATGAGTCTTTTGGAACTGTGGTGAATCATTGTGCTTATTGGAGTTACTAAGTCTTTCATAGTTGATTATCTTTACAATATTGTTGTTGTCATGTAAATCATTCTCCTGGTTCTGCTGACTTCACTTTGCATCAGTTCATATCAAAGGACAATTCTGAAAATAAAATGAAGCCTTAATATGAGCTCTAACTTTCTATCTATGTATTATTTATTACTCTAAGGAAAAAGAGCCTACAAGCATGCATAGAGAAAGAACATAGCATTCATCAAATTATAGTTTAGAAACCTTCCTGTTTTCTCTTTTTTCCCCCCCACTATATTTGCCATTCATGGTTGATGGGAAAATGTGGGAAGAAGGTTATAGGAGCTGCTTGGATTTTGCTAGATTTGTAGTTGAGTCATTTCTTTTTAATTGGTTTCTTTTTATCTACTTCCCCCTTGTCCATTTTTAAGGAGGGCCTAATGATGGACCTTTCAACAGGAAAGCAATGATGTCTATTAGAGAGAGAGTCATGGGACCCTGGGCAAATCCTTTTTAGTCTTACTCTATGTTGAAGAAAGGGGTGCCCACCTTCACTGGTACAGAGAAGTTTACCCAGGAGCTCCCTATGCCAATAACATCTCCCTATTCTTAATAATGAAAATATTCTGTCTCAGAAATCCTGGAATTCTATTTCCTGCTGATTAAGAGCTTCCTGATCTTTTTTTCTTCCACTGACCTCTCATCCTACCTAGGAAATGGATCTGAAAAAGATCTTTCTAATGTAGACTTAAGACAGCCAATCAGCAATTCATTTATTCAATATTTTCTGAGCAAAGGCTTTCCATATGTAAGGTAAGATGAAGAAGTCAGTACTTCCTTTTCCTAGTGAAGCACTTGGAAACAGACAATTGCTAACTGTAAAAGATTACTGAGATGTAGACAGGTTATGAAAAAATGTTACACGGGAATAAAAAAAAGTTAGCTCTACAGATAAAAGATGGGGGAGGTGTGAAAAGACAGCAATTCCTGAGTAAGGGAAAGAGTTAGTAGATTACAGGTGCCACATAAACCCACAATGCCATATAGCAGCCAAAAAAAAAAAAGACTGCTATTTCAATTTGAATTAAGTATGCTACATACAAGAATGAGGACATTATGGTCTCTCTATACTCTGCTCTGCTCAGACTACATCTGGAGCATTGTGTTCAGTGCTGAGTGCCATATTTTAGGAAGAATATTGACAGTCCAGAGGAAGGCAATAAGGACAATGAAGGGCTTTGCCTTATTATGAGTCTTTGAAGGAATTAATGATGTTTATTTAGACTGGAAAAGAGGAGGTTGGATAGGAGGTGGGGATAATTGGAATCTTTCTGTTTGTATTGGAAGGGCTGCCATGGAAGAGAAATTAGATCTGTTCTGGGGGGTTCCAGGGGACAGAACAAAAAAGCAATGGATGGAAGTTGAAAAGAAGCAAATTTAAGCTTGTTGTGGGTGTAATAATCCCTAAAAAAAAACCCTTTCTGGGTGCAATGGACTATTTGGGGCACCAGTGGGTCCTTTCCTCACTTGAGGTCTTTAAGTAAAAGCTGTGTGGCCGCCTGTCAGATATGTTTTGGAAAGAATCTTTTTCATGGCGGTGTACTCTGAGGTCTCTTCAACCCTGAAAAAATTCTGTCTTTATTCACAGGAGAAATGGAGGGAAAAAACAAAGATAAGTGAAATTCAGATCCCTCTAAATAGGAGTATATGAATTTTCCAGATTAGTGAGAGTGATTTTTTTCCCTATCAAGGATAGAGAGCTACATGCATTTTATTAATAGATATGTGTGTATTTTAAGTGTAGCCTTGGTTTAATGATTTATGACAGCACTTTGTAGTATACTGGTAAGTGCTCTGTAGTATATTTTGTAAATACAGTGACATTTTAGCGATAAGAGCTCTCATTACAGGTCTCTGTTATTAAATCATTGCTCCAAAGACAGGTAAAACTGCCAGCTTTTTGGTAAGAATTATAGGGTTTGTAGATTCATGAAGTGAAAATCAGTATGCCTGAGCTGTATAATGTATATTCACTGAGAAGGTGGGACATATCAGAGCAAAAAATGTTTAGAGCACTGAGACCACAGAAAGTGATACAGAATTTTGCCTTTAATCTCTCCTAGAGTGACTTTGCTTGTCACCTCTTACTTAAAAGAGATCAGCATTCCTGTTCTAATATTACAATTTTTTTTACTTGACCTAATCAAATAATTGTGATCACCTTGTTTTGTAATGCAAGCTTCATTCCATTTTCAGCCAGGGCTTGCTTTAACACTCAGTGAGGGAAGGGTACAGCTCACCTGTCACCTCCCAGAAGAAACAAGGTGCAAGTTGTTATTTCATAATATCACAGAAATCCTGGAAGGAATAAGAAGAAATAAAAATGAACAAGATCAATTGTACATCTTGTGAGATTTTATTGATCCAAAGAAAGCAATTACCACATTTGCTTTTATTTTAGAAAAGGACTGAGAAATGCCTATAGTATAGCACGGTTGAGTTCATTCTTGTCTGGTGTGGCTTACCAAAGGGTCAGGGCCATATACACCGGAGTCCACTATGGAGCAGTGTGGGTCAATTGTAACCCCCAAGAGAGTCATTGAGGGATCATTGATTTCAAGCAAGTAAAGGTTAAAGAAATAAAGTTAATAAACACATGGATAAATGGTCAAGTCTTTGACAACCTGATGAATATTTTTCATTGAATTTTCCTAACAGAGAAAAATAATTTACAAATACCTTGCTGAATAATTTTCAGCAGAGAGCTTTGTTTGTGGATTGAGGTTTAATTTTAACTATGGAAATCCGAGACAAGAATCTCAAACTCAAACAGGGAATCTTAGAAACTAAACTCATTTGGTATGGATAATAGACATAGGCTCTTTTGGGTAGTGAAATCAAAATTGTCTCTAATGCCATGTAAGGAAGATTTATTGTTCTAGAGAACAGGCCCCCAAATCTGAAATCATTTTTGAAAGAAATTTATTAGGACAGCGAGCCAGAAAGGGAGTGACTCTCTTGAGATTCTGGAAAATTTATGTCATATAGGATTTTGACAAAGGTTTCCCACACAGGGAGCTCACATACCTTATGTATGTGGTTAAGTAATTTTGCCAAGAGGGCAGCTGAAAGCAAGGTAGATTAAGATAGATTTGAGAAACTGTAACTCAAAACAGAAGCTTGGTTTCCTGGGTGTGGTGCATCTGGGGCCTGAGAGAATCAAAATTATCTTGTAGCTCTGGCATTCCTAGAGAGTTACTTGGGTCAAGGGACATTCTGGGTGTGGACAAGCTTTAATTATATAAGGCTGGATTTAAATAATTTTCTCAAGCAGTATAGTAAATCATTCCCCCCCCCCATAGACCCCCTGGCAAAAATATAATGAAAAGAGCACTGGATTTAGAGATAGGGAACCTGGGTTCAAATCTTGGTTCTGCTACTTATTTATTACCTGTGCAATGCTGGCATGGATCTTATTTTACTGATCTACAAAATTAAGGGATTGGTCTAGATCAGGGATGGGAAAACTGCAGCCTAGAGAACTTGAGGAACTAGAGGGCCACATGTGGCCTCGAGGCTGTAGGTTCCCCAACCCTGGTCTAGAGGAATGCTAAGTTTTCTTCCAGCTCTAAAACTATGACCCTATGGTATTCCTCTGGTTTAAAGTCAGCAGATTCTTAATAGTATTTCACACTGGAAGAGAAAGCGCTGAATACGAAGAAACCCCTTTTAGACCATTTGACAAGATGGGTTTAGGAACAGGCAAATTGTGGATGAAATGTACATTTGGATATATGGAATGAAATACCCTGGAGACCTTGCTTGGGCTAGCAACCTCACTGGGGCAAATGATAGCTTGAAAACTCTTGTTCTAATCCCCCCCCTCAACCCCAACCCCTTGGGAAAATAGAAGAAATAATGGAAGACATTTGGGATTCAAGTACAAGCTCTGGCGACTTGTGGAGCTTGAGAGGAAGAAGGGCTTGGGCTGGGAACAGAGCTCTAGTGGAGCTAGTGGAGAAGCTGGAGCCATAGCCAATGGAGTAGAAGGCTTCTTCTGGCATAATCAGTGTCATTGTTCATGACAGGCAGATAGAACTGCAGAAAACCAACTGGAGGGAGAGCCTGAGTGGGAGTGGACTCCCCCTGCCTCCCAGATGCCCCCACCTTGGCTATGAAGCTAAGCAGCTGAGGAACATCTTTCTTCTCCCCTGTCCTCTCTCTCTCTGTCCCTTTATAAAAACAACAAAATTTAACCCATTTCCCTATCACCCACTGCCAAAGATAGCTTGTAAGCCCAATTCTCTTTCCATAAATGAGTTTGTTTCCCTTGTTTGCTGTCAGGTTGCTACCTGAGTTCAAAGCATGCAAGGGGAAGGCTTTGAAGGATTTTGTATTTCTCAGACTGTATATATGTGAGGACCTTCAGTTCTGACATGGCAGATTGAAAGACCTGGGGTGGGTGGGGGGTATGGTGGGGGTGGGGGTGGGGGAGATAACAACTTCCACTTTAGTTTTATATATATGATCCTCTAACTCTCTCAAATATAACCCTAAAACTGAACTCTGGGATCACTTAGATTTCCGTAGAAGGGTGAGACAGTCAGAGGCATGGTGCTGCTGAAGGCATGAGTAGCTGCCCAGGAGGATAATCTCCACATTTTTTACCTGAAGGGTACAGTGAGCTAGTTGGGATAACAGGAGAATGTCCATAGCTCTTCCTATTGCCATCAGATAGCTCTTGGCTCTATCCCCTTTTTGTCTGGAGAGGGGGAGCAAGGTGAGCACAGACCTTTTCTTGCTTTTCAGGAGTATTTAATGTTACACAAATGTATCAGATATATGTAAAAACTGAAAATCAAGAGATCACTTGACTGGGAGAATAAAACATTTAAATGGCATAGGTTCTAGGACTTCCTTGAAGGTAGAGGCCTTTTCTTAATCTCTATTGCATTCTGCAAGCTGCTGTCAGAGAGATCTAATATAACAGGGTAGCAGATGCATGAGAGGGTCTGCCATACCAAGACTCCAGCTCACAAATTATGGTTTAGATTCTACTTAGTCAGATTTTCCTTTCCCCTGCTGCTTAAATACTGTTAATCCTGTATAACTCTCAACCTGCTGATCAAATGGGATACTTTATGGACTCCATCCACTGAGACAGATCTTGATTTATCGGTGATTCAGGAGGTAAGTCCTACAGAAGTGGCTTGAATTCTATAGGAGTTAAATAACTTTCCCAGAGTCGCACAGCTAGTAAATGTAAGAGACAGAATTTGAATACGGGTCTTCCTGATTCTGAACTCAGCATGGAATCCAATCTGACATAATTACCCCTACCATTGTAGATGTAAGCTACCATTTCTCTCTGCACTCTCACTCCATCAACCTCCCCTTCCTCAGACACACCCTAACTCTGCCTATCATGCTATGATTCTTTCCATCACATCCTTTCAAACCCTTATTCTAATCTCAGTAAGTTTTTTTTTAATCTTTAAACTTTTTGGCCAACATTTCTTCCATATCCTTTCATTAAAGAAAATTTTACTTCTCTCTCTGAATGCCGTACCCCTCCATACCCTAAAGGAAGCTGTACCTTTTCTGGTTTTCCCCAACTCACAAAGCCAGGAAGAGGCGCCCCTGTACAGACAGCACTAAGACTTTGGGGACAGCCTGTATCACTTACTGCCTATCGCTACTTTCGTTTCTTGTGGCTACCACCATTCTTCGATAAAAGCCATTCCTACAAGTATATCACCTTTCCTTGTTTCTGTCTGTTGTTCTCTAGCTCACTCTTATATCTTCATCAACATATATTTGGCACCCAGTTCACCTCTACTCCATTCACAAACATCATCCTCTGTAATGTCAGTATTCTCATCCATAACTCTTCTAATAGTCTGGCATCTTTGTCCTCGATTCCTAAAATGTTCATTTTTTACCCTACTGCAGTCACACATCAGCATGGCCCCTTTTAGACTTTACCCTTATTTGAAACTATACCGGCTATAAAATCTGAAAATTACTTTCTGGTCTTAATAGCCTATCATTCTATCCCTCCTACTCCCTCCAAGGAATCATGCTCTGAGCCCTCATTGGCATCTCCCTATTCAGTTTAGCTCTCTTCCCTGGTCTCCATTCCCTTGTCTTCTTGGCCAGTGTTTACCCAGTGCTCTTGTTGGGGTCACTTATTTGCATATACAAATCACTACCCCCGCTGACTTTCTGCTATTCCTGTCCTTCTAATCCTCAACTTGTCTGAGTAATTTCCGCTTTCCAATTTCTCAGAGCCTGCTTCGGAGGTGCTGAGCTTCACTGGAAAAAAAAAAAGGGCTCAAAATCAAGTTAATTTCATTTGCTATAAATTTATGCTGCATAACCTCAGTTGAGCTCTCAATGCTGCTCAGTAATCCTTTTATTCTAGTCATATTGATTTCCCATCTCATTCCCCATAATGGCTCTTCTAAACCTTTTCCTCTGTTGATGCCCTCAACTTTTACCCTAACCTCCATCTACAGCAAGTGACCTCACTTGCTACTTCACTGAGAGAGTAGAGGCCATCACCCTGAGCTCCCTTAATTTCCTGCTATCATACTTCAAAAATCTTGGCATAATAACAAACAATTATTTAGCCTTTTAAAATATGTTAAGCACTTTATATATGTCATCTAATTTAAACCCTAAAGTATCTGTGGGAGGTTCATTAATAATACTACTAATATTATTACACCCATTTTACAGATGATGAAACAGAGGTTGAGGTTAAGTGACTTGCCCAGGGTCATGCAGCTTGCAAGTTCCAAATGATGAATTTGAATTTTGTAATTTAAAGACTAACATATAAGGCAGCTAGGTGGCACAGTGGATAGAGCTCAGGTCTTGGAGTCAGGAGGTCCTGAGTTCAAATCTGGCCTCAGACACTTGACACTTACTAGCTGTGTGACCCTGGGCAAGTCACTGAATTCTGATTGCCCCACCAAAAAAAAAAAACACAAACAAACAAAAACAAAAACTAACATACAATCTGCCACACAATTCTCCCACTCAATCTCCTTGCCTGTCCTATGTATTACTTCCTTTTAACCACCAAAAATCTTGAAAGAGCAGCTGATGACAATGCCTCTTGTGGAGGCCAGGGGAAAGGAAACTTGTACATACCTCTCTTAACATGAGTAATTCTATTTGAATAGCAATCTGCCATTTCAGGTAAAGAAATTAGTCATATTCAATTCTGTCTCCCTCCCAGGAATGTATTGGAACTAGTTTGAACTGATTGGGCTTATTGTTAAATTTTCAGTGTGAAATGTGAAACCTTACAAATCAGGGTTTATTTGTTGTTTTGTTGATTGTCTATAAGA